ATCTGGATTCACAACGAGCCCCTTCACCCGCGGGGCAGTGAGGCTATGCTCACGACAACCCGATTACAGCTGTGACACCAGCGACTCCAGCCTGAGTAGCACTGACCTTTGGCTTCACGATTCGAAGACCCGGCCTCAAGAGCGGGAAGAGTACCACTTCTCCTACCAGTCTAAGGGCATCAGAGTAACTGCAGCTTGCTCCGCCTGAGTGTGAGCAGAAAACTACCACTGTCAACAAGGAGAAGCTCCAGCCCCATCTCCACTCCAAGAGGACAGCGCCCTGGGTCAGCGTGAGACGTTATGGAGGACGGACCCCAGCCCTGATCCCGCAGAAACAACGCCGACGGACAGGGTATCCTTCAAATATTGTACGACAGACTGCAGCTTGTTCTTCTGGTCTAAAACCGGATTCTTACATCATTCCTAAGAGGAAGGTTCTCAGTTTTACACGAAGTGGCAGCCTCTTCTCAGGGTGCTTTCTAGGTCCCCTATGTACCGGTCACCCCACGAGGAACAGAATAGCCCCCGTAGCCTGAGATGCAATGAGGGGTGCTGGGAGGAGGGGGACCAGGCGGAGGGGGTCAGGGGAGGGGCAGGCCCTGCGGAGGGGGCGGTGCGCTGCCGGGCTACAGGGGCAAGGACCCTTCTGCCCTCACTCCGGCTCCTGGCACGGAGCGTGTAAACCCTGGGGACTACCAAGGGGGCAGTGAGTGGGCATCCGGATTCACAACGAGCCCCTTCACCCGTGGGGCAGTGAGGCTATGCTCACGACAACCCGACTACAGCTGTGACACCAGCGACTCCAGCCTGAGTAGCACTGACCTCTGGCTTCACGATTCGAAGACCCGGCCTCAAGAGCGGGAGGAGTACCACTTCTCCTACCAGTCTAAGGATATCAGAGTAACTGCAGCTTGCTCCGCCTGAGTGTGAGCAGAAAACTACCACTGTCAACAAGGAGAAGTTCCAGCCCCATCTCCACTACAAGAGGACAGCGCCCTGGGTCAGCGTGAGACGTTATGGAGGACGGACCCCAGCCCTGATCCCGCAGAAACAACGCCGACGGACAGGGGCCTGTAGGCAGGTTCCCGCAGGCAGCCCTTGTGGCAGAACTCTCTGCAGGGACCCCACGCCCTGTCCCCGCAGCAAAGCTACCCTGTAGCTCACCTCCAGCCCCAGGACACCTTTCCAATCTTTGGGTTACACAATGCCTCTCCTAACCTGCTGCTTCTTTCCTTAAAGAAGGGGAAATGAAGAACAAGGAATCGACAGACGACTAGATCACTTCTCCTTCAGGAGCCTCATGAGCAAAGACTGTATGGACAGACAGGGTCTAAAGAGAGACCGAGGAGTCCACCAGTCTGCACACAGGGGTAGGAGCGGGGCTGGCTAGGACTCTGGCCCCCACCTCAAAGATTAACTGAGATCACTCCCCTTCCTCCCTTTAGAAACCCTCACGGCTGAGCAGACTCTCCAGAGGGGGTTCTGGGACAGGAGTCTGCCTTCCCCCAGGCTGCCGCCTCCTGAATAAAGCAACCTTCCATTCCCACCAGCACTTGTCTCTGAGCAGCGAGCAGCCAAACCAACCGCAGCCAAAAGATGGAAGAAGCACAGATGTCCATGAGAAGAAGAAAGGCTGAACATCTTTGTGTGGTCCCCATCTTCGTGTGGTCCATCCACACAAAGATGGCAACCCAGCCTTAAAAAGGAAAGCCGTTCTGACACAGGCCACCCCTGAGATGAACCTTGCAGATACTGTTCTAAGTGAGATAAACTACAAGAGACAAATGCTGCATGATCCACTTCAGTGAGGTCCCCAGAAGAGTTGGACTCATGGAGACAGAGCAGAGTGGTGGCTGACAGGGCTGCGGAGGGGAGAAGAGACGCAGTGTCTGATGCGCACAGAGCCCCAGCTCTGCAGGATGGACAGCATCGGGGTGGGGTGGGGTGAGAGGGGAGCATGGCACCTGGGCGCACTGACCCTGGAACATCGCTGACATGCCGGTAACCTGGCGAGTTTTACATTCTGTGCATTTTACCAGGATGGCAAGGAGCTGTGTGTGGAGATGTCTAAGGGAGGAGAGAGCCATGCTTCCAGGCAAGTAAGCCATTCACCTTGCGCTTGCTGGCAGCACCTGGAAGGGGTCAGGCTGCAGGCCACAGCCCACAAGCATGAAGAGGAAAGACACACCCCAGCTCCTCAGACACCATGGGCCCTGCAACACCACCTACGGGCACCGGGATTGAAGGAGCTCCCTCTAGACCGCCGAGCCGCACTGGGTTCATCACATCTAAAAACCTGGACCCTTTCATGTGAGCTGCTACCAAATCTGTATTTCTGCGCTATTGGTTTTAAGATTAATTTGCAACAAGCCCTGCTGCAGCCCTGGCACTGTCAAGACAGTCTGAACCTTGAATGAGCACCCCTGGGGTTTGCTTCCTCTGGCAGCTGCGAGGCACCTGCAGACCTGAGAGGCATACTTCTAATTCCTCGACCACAGGAACCTGCTGGCTCTGGGATGCTGAGTTCAGATAAAAGACTGGGAGGGGTTAATAAGTCACGGAGACATTACCCCGACTGTGAGAGCCTCTGGATGCACCAGGCAGCCAGCGGGGAGACCAGCGGGGCAGGAAATGAAGCACAAAGATGCGTCCACAAGTGCTCTTCCGGGCCTTCATGTTATTTATCTACAGAGGCCTAGACTTGGGGGAATGAACTCCTGCCCTTGGGCGAGACCTGCCCTCGGAATGAAAACATCCAGCCACTTGGCGTTTAATCAGCGACAGGAAGAGCAAGCCCCCCGTGCACCTGTGCCCCGTGCCCCTGGCGGGCTCTCCTGTCTCCATGGAATCACAGAATGGTTTCCTGCCGTGGACACTGTGTCTGCAACCCCTCAGCCCACTGGGCATCCCTCCTGAGTCTGGGCCTGGAATTAATCCAGAGCAGCTTGCTGCTTTCCTCCGGTCTCATCTCTGAAGATGACCTGTGGACTTCATACTCTTTTCTTGAAGCAATCTTGTTAGAAAATGGTTCTTCTGACTGAAGAATTCAGGATTAAAATAGGAACTTATCAGGGATGGTACACCACTCTCCAAGCAGGGGTTCTAGCCCATCTTTGTTTTCCTGATTGTTCTGGAAAGGGACAACAGTAACTGCAAACTCATTATCTGTGGTGAATTTCAGCCTCACCCTGAAGGGCCCGCGCTGCTCGGCTGAAGTCGCCCTTCGTGCGGGTGTCCAGGCCTCTTACGAGCCTAAGCTCCTCAGACAGCTCCTTTCCTGCTGCCCTTGGTTTCTTAGGCACCTCTGCATGGCTCTCAGGGGCCACCTCCAGCTTCCCCACCCTTCACTGGCCACCCCCAAGCTCCTGTCCCTCAGCGGCCACCGACTCAGGCTTCAAGGAGGCGCGCAGTCAGCTCTCCTCCCCATTCGCAGGCCCCAGTGTGGAGCCGGGGTGGACGCGCTGCCATGCCAGGGGCTACGTGCTCTGTGTTCTTGGCTGAGTTTACATAATCCCCAGCGCAACTCTTCTCAGGCGAACAGGTAGCTGAATGGATTACTAATCCTTCTATTTCATCCTTTTAACAAACTTAAATAGATTATGATAGAGAGTAACTCAGAGTAGCTCTCCAGAACTCAGCCATTATCCTACACTGACAATAACAGAGACAATCAAAGTCCAAAGAATAGAAACAGCCAACTCGCATCATGCATCCAGAGATATAACTAGAAAGAGAACCGGAAAGAGAAGTCACAAACAAAGGTGGCTTGGACCCTTTTACTGATTCTGCTCAGTCCTTCAATTGCTTTGGTGTTTGGCACAATTCTAAATGCTGAGGATTCTACAAATAAAGACCTATAGTAAATTTTAGTAAATTTTAAATGAAAAAAAAAAAAATTAGGATTTGAAAGGCTCTCCTGTGAGCATAGATGCTTAGTTTTGCTATGTAAAGATTTCCTACCTGGGTCTTACATCTGTTTGTCAAACAACTGAGTTCCAAATCCAATGGACTTACCATCTTTTTTCCTAATTCATTTCATTGCTTTAACTGTATTGCCTGTTACATAATATATAAAGTGCAACAGATATATTTTAAAAAGTTACATAAATAAATGCTGAGGATTCAAAGATGAACACGGCTGTCCCCGGGCACTCGGGGAGATGCAGACTGAGGGGAACACCACCTAATGAAACAGCACGTCACCAAAGCCCTGAAAGGACAGGGACACGCGGACAGGAAACACACGATGCTGACAGTCAGCTTAGAGCTACTCACTGCAGAGCACGGCTCCCTTAGCCCTACTCAACAGAAGCACAATCTCTAACATGACAAGGTGCTAGTTGAGCCTATCCCTGGTAGCTCAGTGGGAAACAATCCACCTGCCGACACAGGAGATGCAAGAAAGGCATGTTCAATCCCTGGGTGGGGAAGATCCCCTGGAGAAGGAAATGGCAACCCACTCCAGTATTCCAGGCTGTAGAATCCCATGGACAGAGGAGTCTGGTGGGCTACAGTCTATGTGATTGCAAGAGTTGGACACAACTGAGCGACTAGACGACGACAACTCAAACTTAAAGAGATTTTCAGACTTGGCCTCATACAGACGCTAACTAAATGTATTAGGGAAATATGCCATCAGTTTATGAAACAACAGATTCAGACCGAGAAACAAATGTTCAGAAGCAGAAAGGGCAGGAAGAGCAGAAGTTCTCCGAGGCAGCACTGAGGCTCCATGGACGGCCTCACCCCTCTGGAGACGGGACGCAGTGCCTTCCGAGGGGGATGGTGTGTGGACCTGACAACACTGCTGGTGCACGACAAGGGCAGCTGCCTGTCCCCCTCGCGGCACGACAGCGACAAATGAAGGGGGCGAGTCAGGAAACAGGAGGAGGAGTCTGGTTTGGAGAAGATTCTGCAGAGGCAGCAAGCGCTTGGTGCCGGCTGCTGAGTCCCAGGGGCCACCCCTACCACGCCCAAGGACACACACGCATCAGCCCTACCTGGCCCGTCTGATAGTGTCGGGCAAACTGGTGAACCACCCGGTAATCGTTGGCAAAATACTCCATCAGGATAGATGGGACCTCGGCGAAGTCCGTGGGGCACCTGGTCCCTGGAAGAGGCGAGAGGAGAAGTCGGCAGGAATCGTGGCAGCGTGTCAATGTCACCACAGGCACTCGTTTACATTTTTATTTGTACTTCTGATGAACTACGATAGTCTTTAATTCATTAAATCAATATTTTACTTCTATAAAATTATTGCACATATTTGCAGGAAAGTCTGTACTCATCTCACACACTTTCCCATGTATCAGAAGCAAAACAAAATATTTGCACAGCTGGGTAAAGCACTTGTGAAGCAACGGTTCACACCCTCTACAAACAAAACTGTCTTCAGCTCCGCCAGGCTACACCTGACACACAGATTACAACATCCTTACAATGAGCTCATTCTAATTTAACGCGCTGAATTCCACCACCAGAAGCCAGGATCCTTCATTCCTTTTCAAAGTATTTTATCTACTATTTCTGGAGCAAGGTCAACCCTCAATATAGAAAGGCAACATTTCAAACCCAAAATTACTTAAAGTAACGAATCCTATAAGAACGTGTTGGTGGCACTTTATGATTTTGTCCAGACCATCTGCAGTCTTTTCAAAATATCTTCTCCTCTCCTAAATACTGTGTGTGTAAAGTTAGCTGCTGAATACTGAAAACCACACCTGCCCAGTGGTGCAGGGCTGACCCATCTGATGGTGAGCTTAGAGAGGATGACGAGGAGGGGGGCTGACATTAGCAGGAAAACCATGGCTTTATGCAGGGGATGCAGAAGAGAGACAGTAAGGACCTGGCCATGCCTTTCAACATGCCCTGAAGTTTTCTGACTGGTTTTGGATAAAAAGAGGCTGTATACATTCACTTGTTCACTTGCTAAGCCTGCATTGGAGCTAAGAGTGCTTGTTCACACACATAGCCACTGATGTAAATTCCAGATAAAACACAGCAGAATGCAAAATGGTTCAAACTGGAGAGACAGGCACTCAGACAGCCTTGGTGAGAACTGTTGTCATGGATGGAAAAAACGTATGAGGGTTGGGTTGAATCACAACTGGAAGGACAAGACAAAGCCATCTGCGATCAATGACCACAGATTTTCTAAACAAAAGGCTTTTTTCCAACTAAGATGAAAAGCATGTGTTTAAAGAACTGCAATAAACGAAGTCCTGTACTGAGTGAGCTCCTGCTCACCAGTGACATGCTGGTATCGAGTCCGTCCCAGCATCGAGTGCATGGCATGGCCCATCTCATGGAAAAGGTTCTCCATCATCCCGGGAGTCAACAGCGTGGGCAAGTTTCTTGAGGACTGGGGCAGGTTCAGCATAAGGACCACCACGGGGAGCTGGTAGTCCCCATCTTCCTTTAAACGACCTCCTCGGATGGTGAAGTGGCAATCCTTTAAGAAAATGAGACCAGTGAAGAAATGATCAGAAGCTAAAGGGTAAGCAAGTCTTAATGAATACAAGGTTCTATCAAAATGGATGAGTACAAGTGTTATCATAATTCTATTCTTTTATTTATACTTTTTTTGCCAACACTTTCTCCTTTGCTGAAATGTTACTTTTTTAAAAAGCACCAGTAATACCCTGAGCTCATGTTGACAAAGTCATTCATTCACTCCAAAGACGTGCTGAGCTGATGTTCGAGGAGCTGAAGACACAGTCACCACTGAGGTCAGACCCTCAAGATGCTCAGGGCAGGGAGAAAGGCAGCCACAGGGGGAGGGACGCTGGTGTTAATGAGTCCCTTCTGTGGCCGTCGATGAGACAGGCCACACCCCCACCACTGTCTCCATCGCTTGAAGTGACAAGCTCTCAACTATCACAAAGCATGGACCCTGAATCACTTTTTCAGTCCACATACAAAATTTGATCATTTCTTCTCACATAAGCCTATGAGGCAGATATTTCATTTCTGAGATGAGAAAACAAACCGAGTCGGAAATACTAAGTCACGTGTCCAGGGACACACAGCTAGGGCCGAGGCACCTCAAACCTGAACTCAGGTCACAAACCTGGACTCTCCAGCCTTTCAAGCACAGTGAAGGAACAGATGATGCAGTGGCCAATGGCCCTCACTCTGGTCCCACTGTGCAGACCTGCTGGCCACATCCCCTGGGAACTGGTTACCTCCACCAGCCTCCCCTCCACCAGCCTCCCCTCCACCGTGTCAAATGCCAGAGCATTAACTAGCATCTGTTATAACTGCTGTGGAAACTGTGGATCACCATTAAATACAAGGTACCATTATTTCTGTTATAACTTTATAACCTGAATTCTTCACAGTTCCAATCCAATGGCCCAAAACTGCTGAAGCTGACTGACCTGGAAACCTGGCCTGTGGCTTCACACAAGGAGCGAACTGGTGGTTGACAAGGTTCCTCAGAGACACACCTTGCCCAGTGTTAGAGCAGGCCCATGCCACATACAGACAGAAGTCTGGGCTCCAATCTCCGCACCTCTAACTGTGGCTCTGGACAAGTAACCGCAGCTCTCTGGCCTCAGTGTCCTCACCTCATCAGGACTGAGCTCAAAAGGCTGAGGGGAACTTTCAAAGCTGCACATGAGAAGGGCTCAGGGTGCTGGCAGGCACAGAGACAGGCTCCTAAAATGTCAGCATTCATCACTACGATCATTGCTACCTCGACCCAGATGAAAACAGCAGATACACATTTCTGTAACCATCTCGTAACTTCTGCCATCTTTAAATTCTACCCAATTTCAAATGCACACATTTAGTTACCACCATTAATGTCTTTTAAATATTAGTAACTACAAAAATGAGAGCTAAAGTTAACATTAATACACATTAACTGCTAAACACTCTAGAGAGATTGGTTTGTAAATAAAGTATCACCTGGTGTGGTTTGTCTGCTCGCTGAAAAAAGTCACAGTAAATGTATCCCAGCAGTCCTTCTGATTCATGAACCACGGCCTAGAAAAAAAAGGTTGATTTACTGGTGAATGAAGCCATCAGAACTTCCATAAGTAGAAACACATTCCAAACACCAGAACCTGCACATAAAACACTGACAGCCACCAATGCAGACATTTTATGACTTTCTGCTTCCCAGGTCACCTCAACGTCGGTCCACGGTGCCTTCAGCCTCTTCTGTTGTGTCTCTGGGGTGACTGGCGAACTCTGACGGGAGAGGAACCCTCCCAACAAGCCCTGAGTTGTGACTGCAGTCCCCGCGCCACGGCTCTTCCCTGGGCCCGAGTCAGCCTAGGACGGCAGCACAGCGACCCCTCCTGCAGCCCAGGAAGTGAGGACACCCACACACCAACCACGGCGGCGTGGGCTTCGGCCAAAGAGCAGGGAGTGACGCCTCCTCCCGGGTCAGCCCTGCGAGGCACAGCTCAAGGAGAGCGGGTCTCCATCCACCTCTGCACAAGCGGGGACTCTGCTGGACAGAACCTCAATGCTTCGGGACTCCAGCAAGCCTCCATGAGGCAACCTCTTGGTGTTAGGAACAGCTCAAGGCATTGGGGAAACCTGCCCAATGCAGGGGGCTCCCTCCTGAACAGGACCCTCCATCGCCTGCACTGGCTCCTGGCACTCTCCTGTTACACCTTCTCCCTTCGTGGCATCGCTGCAGGTTATCCATCTGTGTGATGCTCAGCAGACTGCAGGCTGTTTAGTAACTAAGCTTAATCTACAATCACCAAACACAGCCAGGCAACGAGGAGACAGTCCATGCTTCTCAGAAAACAGTGATGAGAGTACAGTGCGCTAAGCCAGAGCACTAAGCCTGAGGGCTGCAAACCCTCAAACTTCACCAGGAAAGCAGTACCTGCAGCTCACACAAAGTGGGCCCGATGGGAGGGAGGGCCCCGGGCTCAGAGTGACCGTCCAGGACTCACACCAGCACATGGGCCACAGCCCAGCCGCCAGTGTACATGTGGGCTCAACCCTCTATCCAACTCCTCAGAAAGGTGTTTTCTCTCAGGGAAAGAACTCTGCTGCTACATGTTTACCCTACCTTCCTGCAACAGCTGATTCTAGAGAACACTGTTCTTTCACAGCGCCCGGAACCAGAGCAGCGGTCTGGATTGAAGCTCTGTGGACAGGGTACCAGGCCCCGCAGATGGGCGCACGCTCCGCCCCGGGCACTCACCAGTTTGCGGACGTCCTCACTCCACACCTCACCCTTCGCGGGCTGCTCCCCGTACAGCGAGACCCCCAGCAGCCTGTTGAACAGGAGGCTCAGGCCCTCCATGCAGGCACCCAGGGAGAAGAACGGGCAGTAGAGACTGGGCTCGATGTTGAACCTGCGAGGAGAAGCAGCGGCGTTTCTGTGTGCTTCAGCGTCTAGAGGGGAGCGCGGCTCACTCTTCATTTATAAATCAGGAGTCAAGGAAGGACTGAATCATGAAGCGGGTCTCTACCCTGGAGGGGTTTCAGACCTGCTCTCCTTCAGAAGAGCAGCAGGCTGACTACTATGGCAGTGAGGGTGACGCCAGGGGTGGAGGCAGACGGGGAGACACTCGGGGGTCTGCAGAGGGGAACCACAGAAGCCACGGGGACAGGCTGTGGGGGAGAGGCCCAAGAGCGCAGCTTCCAGACCGGGGAGTGACCGCCACGCAGGCGCTGGCCGTGTGGGCGCCAAGTGAAGGCACGGCTGCCCAGTAGGTGGGCAAATGCTCAAGACACATCGCTCCTGCCTTCTCACACGGGAGTACTTCTCCAGACACACACCTCTCAGCCCGAATCAGTCCGCTGTAGTATGGGGGGTCCCAGGGCATCAATTCCTGCAGCAGAGAAGCTTACCGTTAGGAAAGCTGGGATGATTTCACAGTTTTCATCAATAATGCAGCCAGTTTATAAAATGTAACCTGTTACTGTATCAGGAAAGTTTTGTAAAAACCCTAGGAACTCATCACCTGGCAAGAGTTTCATTCCTTACTCTCTATTCCACCTTCCCTGTGATCAAAGAGCTGAGAGGCAGAAATCAGCCATACTTGCAGAATTGGGGGAGAAGGCAGACAAATGTCATTCTAAAATGTGAGCTATTAAAAGTCGACATTAATAGATGAAATTAGCCACGTTGAAATCTACCCCAGATGTGGCTCATTTGTTAACCCACAAGACAATACAGGTGGGTTAGGGAACTAAAGGCACGACTAGGGCCCTTTCTGGACCTAAAGAACCTTCGGGTGGATCCCAGAGATGAAAGCAGCAGTTCAGACCAAGCCGTGGCAGAATTAACTCTGAACTTGGCAAAGAAAACCTGTCATAAAGAAGCACTTGAACAATCATTCCTGACGCCGGCCGCAGAGCAGTGACAGAGCTGGGAACCCTGCAGGGGCCACTGTCCCCGGGGGGGGGGGGGGGGGAGGGCAGGCTGGCAGGTGACAGAGGACAGCGGCCGGGCCGGACACGGTCAGCCTGGCTCAGGTTCGCAGTCCACGTGTGCCGGCCGCCAGTGCGTCCCCACCTGCCACCTCCCCCTCACACACCCCTGAGCCTACCCCCTGTGAGCCTGGCCTGGCCTGCACCGGCCTCCCACGCCCCTCTCTACCTGGTTCGTCCCTGGCTGTCGCGGGCCCTTCGCTTCTCCCAGGGCTGCTCTGTGTCATCTCCCCGGAGGGGTCGTCACTGCCCAGGCCTTACAAGACAGCCCCTCCACCCTCCTGTCTGCACTATTCCCTCTGGAGCCCCCACCCGGCAGGACCGTGCAGGCTGACTCTTCCTGTCTGCAATCTCACTCCTCCCCAGGTGTAAGCTTCGGGAGGGCAGGCTGTGTTTCCCTTGCCCTACCGTGTCCTGGCCCCGAGCCCTAGCTGCTGTGCAGCGGTCCCTCATGAGCCGTCCTCTCAATCACTCAGCAGCACCTCCTGGAGAGTATACTGCTTAGAAACACAACTCTGAGCAGAGCTCCGTGAACAGGGTCTCCGTCCTTATGAACGGGGTCCAAAAGGTTCAGTTCAGACATCATCTCCTCTCCTGAACCAGATGCACAGCATCTACTGGCCCACAGATATCAGTCAGTTCAGTCTCTCAGTCATGTCCAACTCTTTGCAACCCCATGGACTGCAGTACACCAGGCCTCCCTGTCCATCACCAACTCCCGGAGCTTACTCAAACTCATGTCCATTGAGTCGGTGATGCCATCCAACCACCTCATCCTCTATTATCCCCTTCTCCCACCCTCAATCTTTCCCAGCATCAGGGTCTTTTCAAATGAGTCAGCTCTTCGCATCAGGTGGCCAAAGTATTAGAGCCACAGATGTCAGCCACAGTTTAAAAGTAAAGAACAACACTGTAAATCAGCTACACTTCAGTAAAAAATAAATGAAAGGAGCACAAAGCAGCGAGTGAGTGAAAGGAGCACAGGGCACTGCAGGCCTCAGTGGGGGCCCCAGGGTGGCGGAAGAGAAAGGGCCGGGAGGTCTCGAAGGGTGTGGTGGGAAAGCTAGGAAATAGTCTGAGAACTCTCTGAAAATGTTAAACAACAGGGGGCAAGGCCCATCAGAAAACTCCCTCCGGAGGAGCCCTGAGGGCCTTCCGGCATCTAACTCTGAGCCTGAGCCGGCCCCAGGGGGCAGAGGGGAGGCGGATGGGATGCAAGAAGGCGGCAGACACCGGCTGCCAGAAAACCAGCTCCTCAGGCACATGAATCACCGGGGGAAGGAAGACAACCTCAGCCAGGGCCGTGGTGACAGTGCGGAGCGGGAGCATGGTTCCCAGCGCCAAAAGACAGAGCCCTCAGCCAACAGACTGCTTATAATAAAAGTACCTCTGGACTTCCCTGGTGATCCAGTGGTGGAGAATCTGCCTGCCAACATGGGGGATGTGGGTTTGATCCCTGGCTGGGGAACGAAGATCCCACACGGCACAGAGCAACTAAGCCAGTGAGCCGCAACTGCAGAGCCTGCCCCAAGGGCCCCGGGGGGACAAATAAACAGCAAAAAGGAAAAGAAACTCAGCATGATCACTTACAGAATTTTGAGGGTTTAGTTTCATTTTCATCCCTCGAATCATCTCAAAATCTTTCATAGTTCTGTAAAATAGGTTTATCATTATTTGCCAGGACAAAATTTTCATAGGTAGATTATAAAAGATGAGTTTGATTCTGCTACTTTTCAGTAATCTTGACAGAAGTAATTTGCAGTAAAAATGTAAACTAGTATTAATCCAAATTTTACATGTATTAGAAGAGAAAGTGATACATACATCAGTAAACTACTGTAATTTTTACCTAAAAAGTTGATATTTGTCTTAAAGTACTAAAATTTGGAAAATTTAAGTGTTACAGAATATACAAATTCATCAGTAAGCTTCAAATCTCTACTTTTTGCTATAGTTTAAAAAAGAGACTAACAAATTAGTTTCTCTAAAAGAAGATTTTACTTAAGATTACCATTTATCATTTTCCCCTATCAAAAAACTAGTTGGGCCGTATCACACATGCACTTAATATTTGCAAAGTATGAAGTTTTGGTTAGAATTAACTTCTATAATTAAAAAATACAGTTCACTAAATATAATTTTAAAATCTTCGCTAAAAAAATCTGAAGATAATATTTGCTTAAAATATCTATAGCTACATACAAGTGAAAAAAGAACAATAAAGCTTAACTAGCAAAGTAGAATAAATTTTCAAATAGCTGCATAACTGATACTACTTCATTCTATCAAAGCCATAACAGCTCACTGCATTAAGAAAAATCATTTCAGAACTAATAAATATAACGCAAATTAGAGAGGACTGGGTTCTAAGGCAGTAGTTTATAACGGAAACTGGAAATTGGAGCTAAACTTTAACATGCAGGTGCAGTCAAGGAGCGAACAGGGGTTAGACAGCCCTGCAGGAGAGAGAAGACCACGGTCCTCCAAGACCCTGCCAAGACTCGTGCTGGAGGCCTCATGCTGGGAGTCTGAAGGCTCCTGGGGGCTCGGCCCCCAGAGAAGCAGGACCAGATCGGCGAGGACCAGGCGAGGGGGCTGGGCAGGGAGAAGGCCGGCAATGTGGCAGAGGGACCACCAAGAGCAGAGAGCCTTGGGTTACAAACACTGGGCACTCTTTACACACAACACAGCAGGTGTGATCCACCAATTATTTAGGCCCAAAGAAGAGCAAGACTAGGTGACCAAATCATTACAAGCTAAAATGCATAGTTTCACAAAAGGTTTGGGGGATTTTAAACAGTCCACCTCAGTAATGAGTTCCTAAAGAAGACCGGTTAGTTAGAAAGGATGGCCCAAGTGTTCGGGACAGTCGTCCTCGGAGGACAGCTGTGAGCTTTCAAAGTACAGTTCACTGTTAGTATAAGATCCGACCCATATTCCAACACCTATATTCTTCATGGGTCACTTCCTAATTCTTTTAATAAATCTTTAAAAGTCTTTAAAAAAAAGAAAAGCTAAATCATGTGTACTCTAAAAAGCAGAATAAAAAAAAGAAAAAAAACGAACCTTTCAGAGAGTTTGTCAGACAGTTTCTCAAGGAACTCCATGACAGTCTCTAAAACGAAAATCCCAAAGAAAATATATTTAACTACATGAAATAAAATGAACACACATGTTAAAATCACAACGTTGTGACCATAAATCCATACAATACAGTTTCTTTAAAGTGATGATTCTCAAAGGGAAGCAGGGCTCCTAATACTAGACACTTTATATGAAAGTTTATCAAAGCTGACACCATAAACTCCAGAGCTTTAGATGATACCCCAAAATAAAAAGAGCTAACAGGAAGCAAAAGAAAATCATCCAAAATCTCAATCTATTTCTATATCTATGTATAAAGGAAAAAAAATTTCTCAGTTTTTTTGATAGCTATATTAATTTGTTCATAAAAGTCTGCACAATTTAGAATCATCAGATTTTAAAAATCAATGTTTTTCTGAATATATGTGTTTTTTTTTAATATACACAGCAGAATAATCTATTCAGGATCTATACTGGAAGAAAATGTAGCAAAATTAGAACATTAAAACTTTATATTCTCCTTCCTACAATGTTGCAGGTGGAAATGTAAACTGGTGAAGCCACTGTGGTGAGCAGTACAGAGGTTCCTTAAAAAACTAAAAACAGAGCTCCCAGATGCCCCTGCAGTCCCACTCCTGGGCATATATCTGGAGAAAAACATGATCTGAAAGGATATATGCGCTCCAGTGTTCACTGCAGCACTGTTTACAATAGTCGAGACGTGGAAGCAACCTAAGTGTCCAAGCAGAGGAATGGATAAAGATGTGGTATATGTGTACCACGGAACATTATTCGGCCATTAAAAAGAATGAAATAATGCCATATTCAGCAACATGGATGGACCTAGAGAGCGTCATACTGAGTGAAGAAAGACAGACAAGGACAAATATTGTATGCTATCCCTTAATGCAGAACCTAGAAAGAAAGGATACAAATGAACTTAGAAAACAGAAAGAGACAGGCTTACAGAACTAACTTACTGCCCCAGACAGAGGGGCAGGGGTGACAGTTAGGGAGTTTGGAATGGACATGTACACACTGCTATAGTTAAAATGCATAATCAACAAGTATCTACTGTAAAACATGGAGAACTCTGCTCAATGTCATGTGGCAGCCCTGGATGGAAGCAGAGTTTGGGGGACAGTGGGTACAGTGTACATGTGGCTGAGTCCCTTCACTGTCCTCTGACACTATCACAGCGCTGTCAACTGACTGTGCTCCAGTAAAATTCAGGCTGGCAGAATTTTTTTTTAACTACTTAAAATACTTCAGCCATAAGTCATTATATTGCAGAAACCCATAAAAGCAAGGCAGTGAAATTGTGATTATTTCCCATAACAGGAAATTTTTCACATGAATTTTTGAATTTAGCACTTTTAGGCCCTGATTCATGTGTATAGAGTTTTTCATACATATTTTAGAGTAAGCTACAAACACTGCTTTTATGTTTTCAGATGATCTTTTACATGGTTTTAATTTCTTGCCCTCTTCAGTTTATCTCATTTCTGAGTAAATAAAAGGCTGGGGAAGGAATGGACCTGATCCAGGAAGCCAGGGTCTCTCGTCACCATCAACACGGATCCCACCTGCAAACACGGCTTGGTGTATTGTGTTAGATGGCGCTAAGGCTTTTAGGAAAAAACTGTTATTTAGCTCAAAATAAAACCTTATTTCAGGATGTCAAACCAGTGGGCACAGGGCACTGTTTTCAAACATATCTCTGTGTGTTTTCTATTTCAAAATAATTAATCTTTTACTGGCGCTCACCCATTTTGTTTCTCTAGCTCTCTCGAACAGGAAATATCTACCTCGATTCCCCAACTGGAACACTATCCTGTGAAGAGCAGTGAGTCTGAACCGCCTGCAGGCAGCTGCATGGCTCCTGGAAGACAGGCCCCTGACGCGCCGGTCCCGTGGGGCCCACCACGGCCTGCCAGCCCTCGCCCTGTCTCCCTGCCCCCACTGCCCACCTCCAGCTTCACTTTCCTCACGGAACTTTCCACAGCCACCCAAGCATCTGTAAACCTCCAGAGCTCCTAAAACCCTAGGGCCCTGCGGTGCCCAGTCAGTGCGTTGAGCACTGGAAGGACACCGACCAGGATTAAGATTTATCCTCACGTGGCCCTGTCCAAGCTCCCCAACTAAACGCTGCAGCCCCCGAGCACACAGGTCACACCTTACACGACGTGTGTGCAGAGTCCAGCTGCAAGACACCTCCCCACGGACCACCCCGTGAGCTGTGGACTTGCCACCACTCAGGCGCCTCTGTCGGCCCCAGCTGCCCCCAGCACTTGTCCCAGCATGTCCCATCCATCACCCACCCTCGTCGCCACCTGCACACTGATCCGCATCTCCCACTGAATTCGGACCACCGTGCTCCCAGCCCCAGCCCCATCGGCAGGACTCCCTGTCCTCCCAGTGGCTCAGTCGCAGGCCTGGCTCTCCCTTCAGGAGCCCGAATGTGACGTCTCACCACGTGCAGAGCTGCCAGCAGCCCGGAGCCTTGCAGCCTCCTGACTGCAAACGCGCACTCCTGCAGCTGCTCTCCACACCCCTCGTGGTGCCCCCTGCCAGCGACCACCGACAGCCCTGCTCAAACCCACCTCCCCAAGAACAAACCTCCTCTACTTGTGCCCACTCCTTCCCACTCCCCTCCGCACTCCTCAAATGTGGGCACCCCATCTGGACCCCAAAGACACACATGAGAGAGAAAGAAACAAGGCAAGCAGGCATCAAGAAAACCTGGGAGAAGCTATGGGCCCTGCAGAGAAAGAAGGGCTGGACACCGGATGGACAGAGATAGCATGGAGCCTGCAGGAAAGGTGACCCTCCTGCTGCAGGGCTGTTCCCAGTGACCCCACAATTCCTCCAGACACACAGATGGAAACCCGTGGTGTCCACTGCCATCTCCTCACGCTCAGCCCGACACCAAGTCCTGTGAATTCAACCCTGAAAATACAGCAAGTTTGAACAACCCCCCAACACAGCCACTCCACTGAGGACTTGGGTCTAGAGTGTAACTGTAAATTAATCAATGTCTTTGAATTACACCATTTTCATTGTGATATATTTTCTCTTATACGTGATGAATCATAAAGAACTCAACAAAGGAAAAGGTAAGTTTTTAACGAACACCCAGAGAGACGCTCCCCACTCCCAACCCTGCCAAGCAGCCCTCTTCTCTCTGAAAGGAGGAGTCCTATATGACCCGGGCCACACTCAACCCTGCCTCCAGCAGGGGCACTGATCACCCATCTCCTCCCACACCAATTCTAACCAGGCTGAGCACAGAAACCAGCTGAGTTAAAACAAAAATAATTCAAATCACCATCAATGATTCATCAATGAAATAATAAGTATGAATTACTCAGTTCAGTTCAGTCGTTCAGTCATGTCTGATTCTCTGAGACCCCATGAACCACAGCACGCCAGGCCTCCCTGTCCATCACCAACTCCCAGAGCTTACCCAAACTCATGTCCATTGAGTCGGTGATGCCACCCGACCATCTCATCCTCTGTTGTCCCCTTCTCCTCCTGCCCTCAATCTTTCCCAGCATCAGGGTCTTCTCAGATGAGTCCGTTCTCTGCACCAGATGGCCAAACGCTTCAGCTCCATCATCAGTCCTTCCAATGAATATTCAGGGTTGACTTCCTTTAGGACTGACTTGTTTAATCTCCTTGCTGTCCAAGGGACACTCTAATTATTAGTGTACAATTCTGTTTACCTTATTGTGACTATTCTAATTATTCTTGAATCTAAGTCACCTATGGCTTAAAGCAAGCATTTGAATGTTTATTGAATGAACAAACCAGAAAAAAGTCACTCACAGAAAAAACTCACATCAGAAATCTAGGTTAAAAGAAACAGCCCAAGCAACCCCAGGGTATGTTCTATTATGAGTACATGTTGCATCTACAATCATGGATGACAGTAATTGAATAGATGACCCAAAGACACAAGAGCTTGCCATCATTAGCCTGGAATCACCAAGGGAAAGAAGGGACACATCACAGTTTAGAAATACCAGCATGAGTTAAAACAAGGGTTGGTGTTACCCAAGTAATTAGAATAACCCAAATACCCCACAGTCCCAAGAAACCCAATTATTTGGAATTTAACTGTAATTTGCATGCCTGCCTTCTGCTTTTTAATTAGCCGGATGACAGAACAAGGCAATGAGAAAGCTGATTTGGAATTAGGAACTACATTTAATTTAAATGAAAAATTCATACCTATAGGATAAATGCAAAGCTAAAATTCAGTAATAAAATGTATCTTTTAATCATAATTTTAAATTGCTATTAAATTAGGTGTTGGAATGAGATGAAAGTTAGAAGAGAATGTCCTGAAATCTCCCATCTTCTGCTCCATTTTCTCAATCCACGCTTTCCCCGGATAAGTCCATTTCACACGGGCCACAGCCAAGGGTTTATACAGAGGCTGGGGTGGGGTCCTCCATCTAGCAGATAGATGTAGTTAACTCCTGTTCTAAACACCTTAACACCACCTCCTTATGTCAATAATGGGAAAATGTATAAGTTTTATGTCTTTGGAAAGTCAAATGCAGAGCCTCATGTGTATTAAGTTATGTGCTATGTACCCTGTAGTGTGCTCTTTGCAACCCCATGGACAGCAGCCCACCAGGCTCCTCTGTCCGGGGGACTTCCCAGGCAAGGATATTGCAGTGGATGCCATTGGCAGGCAGATTCTTTACCACTGAGCCGCCTGGGAAGCCCAGGAATTTATTAGAAATGCAATTTCTGAGGCTCCACCCAAGACCACTGAATAAGTCACTCATGACGAGAGCCAGTAATCTTTTCTAACAAGCTCTACAGATGGTTCTGAGGCACTAAAATTTGATAAACACAGGTCTACAGGATTGATTCAATGACTGTATTTTAACTCATTGTAGGCTTGTCTAGTTATTTTCTATTTAAACCCCAACCAAACTTGTTGAGAAACTGGGACCAGAGTCAAAGGCCGTGTGACATTCATCCACTGATTTGCTGATTCATCCAACTGTNATGTTCACTCTTGCCATCTCCTGTTTGCCCACTTTCAATTTGTCTTGATTCATGGACCTAACATTCCAGGTTCCTATGCAATATTGCTCTTTACAGCATCGGAACTTCCTTCTATCACCAGTCATATCCACAACTGGGTGTTGTTTTTGCTTTGGCTCCATCCCTTCATTCTTTCTAGAGTTATTTGTCCATTGATTTCCAGTAGCATATTGGGCACCTACCAACCTGGGGAGTTCATCTTTCAGTGTCCCATCTTTTTGCCTTTTCACACTGTTCATGGGGTTCTGAAGGCAAGAATATTGAAGTGGTTTGCCATTTCCTCTCCAGTGGACCGCATTCTCTCAGACCTCTCGACCATGACCCATCCGTCTTGGGTGGCCCCACATGGCATGGCTTAGTTTCACTGAGTTAGACAAGGAGTGGCAGCCGAAAGGAGCTACCCCTTGTCCAAGGTCAGGAGCAGCGGCTGTGCTTTGCTGGAGCAGCTGTGAAGAGATAACCCATGTCCAAGGTAAGAGAAACCCAAGTAAGACGGTAGGCGCTGAGAGAGGGCATCAGAGGGCAGAGAGACTGAAACCACAATCACAGAAAACTAGCCAATCTGATCACACAGACCACAGCCTTGTCTAACTCAATGACTTACTCAACATACACATAAAGTACACTAGTTGTGCAGATATACTCCAAATGATTAGCTCTGTTTAAAAATCATTCCTAATAAAGAGGCAAAGTATCTCAGTAACTGGTCTCCAAGTAAATTAAAAATAGCACAGTAACTTTAGCTATTTAAAGTCAGAAGTTCAGCTTCATAAAAACCCTGTTTTGTCCTGAAGAGCTGGGTAAACAGGCTCACCTGGACTTTGGGCGATTGTTCCCTGGAGGGCTCTGTGGGAGTAGGTAGGATACCCTACCAACTTTGCCAGGAGGTCTCTGCTGCTGAGCAACTCTTCTAGACGTTTCAATTGACCAGCATTGGGATAAAGAAAAATTTTATAAGCAGCTTCTCGCACCTATGTTTAAAAAGTGGATGGTAAAAGACACACGTACGAAGATACGAAGCCCTATATGATAATAACACACGTTATCTCCCCCCACTTTACTCTGCAGGTGAGCAATGCTTAAACACAAGGCCTTACACAGGCTGAATGAAGCTTCTGGGCTCATTACCGAGTGAGGGGGACACATCGCACTTGGCCCAAGTCCTGCTGAGGGGCAGAGGGGCAGAGGGGCAGGGAGCAGAGGCTCTACCTGACACACAAGGAGCGCCACCAACCAGTGACGTGAGGCCACGTGCTTAAGAGTGTGAGTCCCTGCAACGGCCAGCGCCGCTGTCGCTCACCATACTTTGAAAATGAGGAACTCTTTACAACCGGGGTAGTCAAAACATTTTCATTATTCAAAGCATTTCCCTGATAACTCAGTCGGTAAAGAACCTGCTTGCAATGCAGGAGACCCCAGTTGGATCCCTGGGTTGGGAAGATCCCCTGGAGAAGAGAAAGACTACCCACTCCAGTATTCTGGCCTGGAGAATTCCATGGACTGTACAGTCCATGGGGTCGCAGAGAGTCGGACACAACTGAGCGACTTTCAGTTTTTCACAGAATTAGTCATCCCTGTTCAATTTTTAGTGCTTAGTAAACATTAATATATTTTTAAAGGTGTGATCATGTGATCCCTGAATTTTGGGGTCACGAGCCACGGCCCCTATATGAGGACAGAACTACACAGGGGACGGAGCGCACGTACCAAGTCGTCGGGTGCTTCTGCACGCAGACTGTCCACCACCACGTGGTCCCCAGCCAGCTCGAAGTGATGCCGGATGCGTTCTGGCAGGAGGTGCTTCCCAATCGTGTTGGGGAAGTGGGTTCCCATGAGAAATGCACTGCTCAGATCCAAGATTTTAACGTTCAGGTCCACAGCTCTTTTACGCTGTGTGTGGGGGCAGTCAAGTTATTTAAAGTAATATTTCACAACAAATTGGTAATCTATAAAGATGCCAGTCAACATATAAAGTTGAATTATAATTTAATAAGGTATTAAATATATTAAGTGATAAAATGAACACTGAATACTGTATCATAAATGTTTAATACACAATAACCGTCTACAAATGCTGACTCTATACTTTTGGTAGTTATTTAGTATCCTCACCAAAAAGTTACCCTAGTGGTTCCACAGTGCGTCTGTACTTTCAGATGTACATAACTTCCGGAGTTCTCTTTTATGTCTAGGTTATACAACATGTCTGTGAATGAACAATGGGAGGTACTGTCCTTCCCTGGCTCCGAAAACACCCTAGCTGACAGGCAGGGAGCAGCGGGCTGGTTGAATCTGTCTGACATGACAGTATCTGAGACACAGATTAGAAACCAGACTCAGCCTTAAGAGATGAGACACAAGGGCAAGGGAAGGAAGGTTCAATGAACGCAGCTCTTCAGCGAAGTGTGGTGAAGGGTACTTGCAAAGCTCGGCCAGGCTCGCTGGAGCAGCCACAGGAGGGCAGCAGCCCAGAGGCAAGGGCTGGAACCGCTTCGGGGTGGGGCGGGGGGGGACCACGGCCCCCAGCCGTGCATCTGGCAGTCTCCAGTCTCTGCCAGTCATGACAACCGAGTGGGGTGGATCTTCTCCTCGCTCACCCCTAGGATGCTGTCGGCGGGGCACCCCATATTTGGGACCAAACTTAAAAACCGTCACCCACATAACTGGTTAGGTCTCCTGGGGACAAGGAGGAATCTTCAGTTACTCGTCATGGGACAGCCAGACAGGCCCTGGACTCACAGCGGGCTTCAGCTGACACCACAGGCAAGCCTTCCCGGGGAAGGGGCAACGGCTACGGACAGATTCTAAACCGAACTGTGACCCTGAAGGATGACCACGCATATTTCTTAAAAGATAAACATAAATATGAACAGAGCAGGTGTACCCTTGATAAGACACTGGAAAAAATGAACTGTATCTTAGTAACAAAAAGTTTCAGTATAGAAAAATCAAACTTCGTGGGAAAAATGACTTTTCAGATGATTCCTCTCTGCCTGTTTTCTTTCTGACATGGCCATCTGTCGCCACCTACTGGTGACCAGGGGAAAAACAAGACAATGAAGATAACTGAAAATTATACTCCAGTTGCAAAATTTTTCCTCAAAGCCTTTACTATTCCAAACAAAAAAGTGATAAAATTAGTTACTTCAAAGAAGTGATCACCTGTTACAATCCCTGGAAAAATAAAAACTGTTTCCTGACTTCGCCAACAGTCTGCTAAGCATGTCATCTCATCCTTTGAGGAGAATTAAACACGTAAACACATAGTTCTTGGAGCTCTGGGAATGCTTTGAAACTGTTTTATTACATGACTGCTTAACAACATACTTCATCCAATTTAAACTTTTTAATTATATTCACAAGACCTTAAAATGTAAGTAAGGAATAACCTGGAAAGAATATAGCAAGAACATAAGCCTCCATGACTTACAGGTTATGTTGGCAGCTTTATGTCGAGTTCTCTTAAAAAGTGTGCACATCCCCCTGCACCCTGTCCGAGTGGAGCCCCCAGAGAAGAGACATGGAAGTGACCAGAAAGATCTCACAGGTGTGTCCAGGGCAGGGATCACGTGAAGATACACCAGCGCTGCGTCTCAAGGACGCTTCTGTACATCCGCGTGGAGACACTCATCTTCAGCTTTCCTCCTCATTCACAGTCCTTCCTGACATGACCCATCTCACCCCACCTCCAATACACCCGAAACCCCTCTGTCTCGAGTCATTCCTTAATTCTGAATTATCAAGGTGACAGGCCAACTTTCAGAGAGCACTCAACATTCAGGAATGGGATCGACAGCACACCAACCAAGTAACAGCAAAACAACAGGAGCCGAAACACGAAGTTACCTTTTCTCGGTCTAGATGGATTCCACTGATTTCAAAATCGAACATAAACAGTTCGGCCACTCGCCTATAAATAAAATGAGCGCCAGGTTAGAACAGGTAATAATAATTAAACAAAAATCCGTTTTTTGCAAAATGAATCCGTCCTTTTCAACTTTACTGCCAAAATGCCAGATGTTTCAACACATACACACGATTTTTCTGAAACCAGGAGCTTAACGTCTCAAGAGTCAGGAAAAACAGCTGGCTGGCCGGGGGTTACGCCCCCCTGTGGACGACACGGTATCACACACATGATGCAGACTGTACAGGCCTTAGACTGAATGAAATGAATGAGTTACTCCAAGGACGCCAAATTTTCTGCATTTTTTCCCTAGAGGAAATGGACATCTTTTCAACTGTCTATCCTCTACACGATCTGTTGAACAATACACGTGAGCACCAAACAAGCACTGTGCACCACATTCCCACGCGCCTGCTGGCATGAACGTGTGCACGTGAACCTGTTCCACCTCTCCTACTCAGCATGTGTACTGAACAGAACTCTACTCCCAGCTGCTCCTGGGCAAAGACTTCTACGCTGAAGTAAGTCCAGCACATGGACTGCAGAACATGAAAAACAGTTACGATTAGCTTTTCATGTAGGAGCTTACTCCTTTATTCACAGAGCACAGACCTGTGAACACCACTGTGATAATTACTTATTTCAACTCCATCTAAATCCCAAACATTAAAAAGATAAAATGGTTTATGCTTGGACAGTTTTTCAAAGGCTTTCTGCACCAGAGTCTCAGTTTCCTGTCCAGCCAGCGGCAGCTACTCAGAGCATCATCCTTTGATGTCGTGGTGGAAGCGGAGTCCATGGGCTCAGGAGGATGGTTTGCTTCCTTCTTAATCCTGCTACATGGTAAGAGTCGAGCTCAATTGGAACACGTCTTTCTGTCAGTAGTAATTTTTTTCTTTAACTACTTTTTTCTGGAATTAAGTTATCCAAGTATTTGATCTATTCTGCTGCTTTCCTTGACTTTTCACAATAGGGACATTCATCTTGCTGATGACCATGCCGATACACTGAATGAACAGAACTATTACTAGTGTATGCTTACTGCACACTGCTCCACGTTTAACAGCCATCTGTTGCTATTCCCTATGCCATGGATAAGGGTTTCAGGAAAAGAATACCCATTTTTCTGTAAGGCAGTTCACTTTTTTCTTTTTAGATAATGTGTAAGGCATCAAAATATAGTAACTATATTAATCCTTCAGCATATAAGTAACACCTGTCCTGAGCTTCCCAGGTGGCTCAGTGGTAAAGAATCCACCTGCCACTGCAGGAGACCTGGGTTCGATCCCTGGGTTGGGATGATCCCCTGGAGAAGGAAATGGCAACCCACTCCAGTATTCTTGCCTGGAGAACTCCATGCAGAAAGGAGCCTGGTGGGCTATAGTCCATGGGGTCACAAAGAGTCAGACACAACTGAGCGACTAAACAACAAACGCCTGCCCTATCGTTTATCCTGATTCTTAAATTTGTAAGGGCTTTGCTAGACCAAAGCTTGCAATTTTTATACAATCAAATCAATCTTCCCTTTTGTGGTCTGGTTTTGGTATCATGTGAAGAAAGACCTTCCACATTCCAAGTTATCAATACTTTTAGGATTTTTTTTTTTAATATTTAAATCTTAATTTACTTTTCCACTGGCCTAACATTACTTACTCAAAACCACACTTTTCCTTCCAGATATGAAGTGACAATTCTATCATGTATTAAACACAGTCCTGTGCTTTTGTGTCTGGGTCAGACTTTTCTCTATTCCTTCATTGAACTAATGGACTCTTCAGGTGTAAGTATAATGCTATAGTATTTTTATGTGTCTTATTACCAGTGCAAGTCCTCTCTGTAGCATTTTCCTCTACTAGATTTTTCCTGCTTGACCTAGCATATTTTTTGTTTACGACTTCAAAGTCATTTTAAATAACAACAACAATCTTCTTTAGATATAAGTTGGACAGAATCAAACTTGCAGACCAGGAGAGAACACTGACATTTCTTCTATGTATCAGGAATACCGCATGTTTCTCCACATAAGCATCTTCCACGCCTCGCAGGACGGAGGTGCGCGTGCGCGTGCAGGCTCGCAGCCTGCCCTCCAGAGTGTCCTCCACGCCGCCCCACAGCTTCTGTGGCTCTCACGGCTCTGGGACTTGCCCTCCATTCTGTTTTCTGGAGAATGTGCTTATTATATTCTCTGCAAACAAGAAAGTTCTTGATGGTTCTAGACAACCCCAAGTGAAACAGGTTTCTTTATGGCCAGGCTTCTCTGAGACTCTGATGTATTGAGATTTTCCAAGAGGGAAAATTGTATTAATATGTGCGATTTCCAAACTTACCGATCAATGGGTCCCTTGTGGCAATACTCTGATACCTCACAGAACTAGTGTTTCAAGGAAGGCACCTAATATAAGATGGTACCATTTCTCCTACACAGGACCTTGTCATGATGGATACTGAATCTCTAACGCTCTATCTCAGCACTGCAGGCTCCTCTGTCTCTCTCGAGGTGCCTCCCGGGTGCTGGCCAACACTCCCAGTGATGGACAAGCACCATGACAGTTCAGTAATCATCACTTCCAAGTCTTGTTTCCGCCCACTCACAAGTCACCCTTCTTTTCTAAAATATAGATCTTCTACCCAGCTTCTTTTCTTCAGTGTGTTTATCATTCTGTTATTTTAAAAATCCTATTGGCATTTTAGTAACATTGAGAAATGTGAGCTTCCCAGGTGGCTCAGTGGTGAAGAATCCGCCTGCGAAGGCAGGAGACACGGGTTCAATCCCTGATCTGGAAGGATCCCACGTGCCACGGGGCAACTAAGGCGGGCACAACAAATACTCAGCTTGTGTTTTAGAGCCCGGGAGCTGCAACTACTGAGCCCCATGTCCCGGAACCTGTGCTCCACAACAAGGGAAGCCACTGCAATGAGAAGCCCACACACAACCTGACAGTAGCTCCCGCTTGCCACAACTAGAGAAAATCCATGAGCAGCAATGTAGACCCAGGGCAGCCAAAAATAAATAAAAAAGAAATGCAGTAGAAATGTGGTCCATGTCCAATTAGCACAAGTCCTCTGTACCTCAAATGGTCCGCCAATCCACTTCCATTTTTATACATTAAATACAAGAAAGCTAACCTTCAGTAAAAGTCAGATTACGAATAACCCATCGTTATAACAAAGTCAGTAGCAGCTGAGTAAAATCTGACACAAATAGCAGGCATTCAACTTCAAATCACCTCGCTAACCAAAGCAGGAACAGTAAAATCATGATCAAGACAGGTTATTGTACTGGTGCAGTCCACTTCACATGTACCGTGAGCGTCAGGATTGCTGAAGCGAATCAGGACTGCAGATACCTGTCCACGGGCAGACAGGTGAAAAGCCCCTCCCTACCTCTTAGCCAGCATGTCACCCACACACCAGACAACACAGGACGCCACCACCATCTGCTCCCAGGGGACAGGGTTCACGCGGGGTCACAGGCACGTGTGGAGACAGGAGAACAGAAAGCAGGAAGAACCAAGCAAGTATCTCATACATAAACAATATACAAGTACAAATAGGCTCACAACAAAAATTAATCTCTGTGCCTTGATACAAATAATACACAGATGAGTTAATGACAAACTATGATATTTATAATACATCTAAGCAAAGAAACATAATATCCAAAATCCTATATCAGATATATTTGTATACTGAGCTACAAAAGAGGTCTTTTCAACTAATAAATGGTATGAATCAAAGCCAACCATCTCAAGGATCTGGACATCCACCAGTAAATGAATCCAATTTGCTTGGATCTTCTGCTGTATCTATGACGGAACTTTAGGAACGCAGCTGAATGGAACTGTCAACCTTGCAGCACCTCCTCCAGGCCATGGCTGGGAGAGATGCTGAGATGCACAGGGAGCAGGTCAGACCCGGCCCCGCCCTCGTGGAGCCTCCCATCCAGAGGGTGGGAGATGCTGACCGGACCCACCAGCAGAGGAGAGGCTGCTGGAGCGACAGGACCAAGAGAAGCAGGAGGACAGGGTGAGGCAGCACAGAGCTTTCAGAGCAGGGGACGCCATCTGAGCAATGTCCATCACCCAGGAGAAACTGCCTGGACAGATGGGCTCTGAGGGCAGAGACACCCTGGGGTGGCTGCCAAGCTCCTGTCCAAAGTCACAAACACAATGAACACAAAGGAAGCAGTACCTGGTTTCCGGATCAAGGGAATCCACAAGTTTCTTATCAGCTAGTAACCTCTGCAAACTTTGATATAATTCCACATTTGTGTTCAACCTAGAAAAATTACAAATGAAAAATATTCAATGATTTTCTAGTACCTTCTCGTTTGGCTTTACATCAAGAGAACAGTGTCAAGTTCTAGCGCACACCTGGCCAGAGGCCAAAGGCTTGGGCCATTGTTTCATTTCTTCCTTCCGATCAGGAATAGCATAACCACTGTTAGTACAGGGAAGGCAGCGTGTGAGAACAACGTGTCCCAGGAGGTAAAAGTGTAAACCTAAAGCCACATGCAACAGCTGCAGCCAGAAGAGCAGATAGGGCCTGAGTCCACCCTCATCGAGAGCCAGCCATGTGGGGTCAAGTGAAGACACTGGGCTGACACTCCCGACAACATCTCTTGACAGGCTGTGGCTCCTGCTGTCCGGCCCGGAGCCAGGAGCACAGGGCCCGTAGTGCAGGTTGCACTCGGAGCCCGGCAGACAAGAGTACAGGCCAGCGCCCGGGGCTCCCGCTCATCTCCGGGGAGCCCCTGCTCCCGTCCTGTCACCACGCACGCCGGGGTCCCAGCTTGCAGCGACCAGTTCACCCATCGAGGAGCCAGTTTTCACAGCCACCGTCCCCAAGAGGGCGAGCGCTGCTGGTGGGGGACAGCACGGCAGCCACCACGCCCCTCCGGGAGCCCCCGGGGACAGAAGTCCCCCTCTTCCAGCCGCCTCTGGTCTCAGACGCAGGCCCTAATGTTAGCTGGGGAGCCTGACAGCCTTCCCGGGGGGGCGTCCTGCTCCCTCCCTGTTACCGTAACAAGCACACTTAGTTCACCTCAGAATCACTTTAAAACAACCGACTCCACCCCGGCCCGGCCTGCTGCAGCACCCACATCACTTTTATGGTCTCCCCAGAGCCAGCCCCGGGGGCCGCAAGGCCACCACATGGGGGTGACCCGCTGGCCTCGCCCTGCGGCCCCAGCATTGGGGTGACAGCGCTTTAACCACCACCTACCCGAGAGCTAAAGGGCCCATAACCCAGGGAGAGGAGGATCCCAGGCATCCGCTGCGCCCGACCGCCGCCCCCATCACGGGTGTTTTAGTCACCGTCTCCCCTTCTCACAGCAACCCTGAGAGCAGATCACCGTGCCAGCCCTCAACAGGACGAGGACCAACTGACGGGACGGGCAGCAGCCCAGAGTTCTGCGGTGGGCACCCCCTCCCCACCCTGCCCCGCCAGCACCCCTGGGGAGGGCACACCCACTTCTCCACCATGGTGCCGATGCTCCGACAAGCCTCCTCCGCGGCCTCCCTGAACGCCACCTCGGGGTGAGCAATCTTCACAAAATCGGCCTAAAGGAGACACAAAACCAAAAGGATGTTTACGGGAAGCCTGCTCCCAGGGTCTGAGGGTGAAAATGAAAATGTGCCATCTGGCTTCACCTGGGCATTTCCATTCCTGGAATTCTTCTCACTGCACATTCATGAAACCTGTTATTCCCAGGAACCGAGTCCATTTCATTCCAAAGAAAACTTTTACCAACTTTTTTTTTCTTAGAAAAGTCTTTCTTATTCAAATATAAGCATGAAGTAGACTCTTCCTCATTGTATTGTTCAAAAAAGCACACTCTGGTTTCAAATCATCCAGAGCTTTCTAGTGTTCACACCATGGTTCTCACACAAGGACACTGACCTGGCTCCAGGGAGCATCTGTGGGAGGCTCTTCCTGTTTGAACAGACACCTGGTGCAGTTTCCAGCCTGAGTGAATTGCATTCCAGCCTTTGTGCAGAAGACAAAGGTATGTTCTGCACTGCCTTCAAATCAACATGAATTCACAGGGGCAGCCGGCCTGGCACGAGACTAGGACCACTAATGTGACTTTAGAATCTAACTAAGCCAGAATCCTTTTTTTTAAAGGTGCAAAACTAAATTTTAGACTTCATGTTAATTACAGGGGAAAATGCGGGGAAACTGCAAAATACTACATGTATTCTTCATTCTCATGAAAACAACATGTGCGTAACAGGAAATAAATCACCACAAAGTAAAATTTCCTGATTTTATTATCAAATAGTTTTCAACATAGAAACATTTAAATCCATAGCTTGAGCCGACATCTGACGCAATAGTAGGACAGTATTAGTAGAATGCACCTGAGAAGTGAGCTGTGTAAAGTTTACAAGTTATATAAATCACTTGTCTACATGCTGCAGGATTTACAAACAACATTAACATTCAAAACACCATTTTAAAACTCATTTTTGATAGTGATGAGGTAAGCAATACTGTTACACAGGGACTGAGTTAAGAAAAACAAAGGACGAGTTGACGGGAAATGTAGTTTATAAAATCTACACCTTACAATATGTTACTGATCTTACTAGCAGACAAAACCTTAAAAATTCAAATATAATGTTCTCTGAATTTTTTTACCCAAAGATGAAGACTCTTGAGAGTCCCTTGGACTGCAAGGAGATCAAACCAGTCAATTCTAAAGGAAATCAGTCCTGAATATTCACTGGAAGGACTGGTGCTGAAGCTGAAACTGCAATACTTTGGCCATGTGATGTGAAGAGCAGACTCACTGGAAAAGACTCATTGGAAAAAATGCTGGGAAAGATTGAAGGCAGGAGGGGAAGAGGACAACAGGATGAGATGGTTGGATGGCATCACCGACTCAATGGTATGAGTTTGGGTAAGCTCCGGGAGTTGGTGATGGACAGGGAAGCCTGGTATGCTGCAGTCCCTGGGCACTGCAGTCCCTCGCAAAGAGTCGGACACTACTGAGTAACTGAACTGAACTGTACATGTATAGGTCACATCCTAGCCTTTTTGAATGAAATATCATCAAACTTCATAAACACAAAAATTTCAAAAACAGAACAAGCTACAGGGCAGAAAAGCTAAAATCTTCTAGGGAAAAGCAGAAGTAAAAATGAGGAACAAATGATGGAACACTGGAATTAAAAGTGGAGCCAGGATGACAAACACAGAAAGTGCTGGGATTTCTGAGCGCAAAGCTGACACTTGCTTTCACGTAAGTGAAACCTGCTGGCAGCATCTACCTTTCAGGTTCCAGTGACACAACCAAGCAGAGGAGGTTCTGACAGCATGTCGGTCATACTCTCTTGGGACAAGTGCATCCTGGTGGGACAGAACCCAAACCCAGAGCAGCCAGGAAGCACTGAAGGAGCTGGAAGCACAGCTCACTTGATTCCCAGGAAAAGCCTTCAGGAGGAATATCCTGTCCACTTCTTTACAAGTGGGACGCCTGCAGTGGGGACTGTATGGTGATCAATAATCAGGAGTACGACTGCCCAGAGCAGGAGGAAGGAAACTTCCCAGAAAAGGAAAAAGCAGAGATGGGGAATGTTATGCTGGGGAAAAAGTCAACCTCAAAAGGTAAATACGATTCCATTTACCTGACACTTTAGAAACAACAAACTACAGGAACGGAGAACAGGTCAGAGGCCGCCAGGTGAGAGGTGAGGTGGGTGTGACCCTCAGAGAGTATTTTGGGGTGATGGAAGAGGCACGTGTCCTGATCATAGGGGTGGCTGCGTGCACACAGGGTCAACACAGAACGGCACCGGACCCTGCAAGAAGTTGATCTTACTATACGACATCTCACAAGACAGGCAGGTGACCTTCCTGTCACTCCAGCGAAGGTTCTGTCCAGCCGAGGTGGCAGCCAGCCCCTGGAACAGTGAGAGAGCAGCCTCTGTGGTCAGACTGTCTGGACTCAGGCCCAGATCCACAGCTCACATGCCGGGGGACTTATCCTCCGAGTGCCTCTTTCCTTGTTGGAAGGCAGACGTGCAAGGAGGTTAAATCAGCCCATCCAGGTACAGCCCTCGCCAGGATCGGGTGTCAGTAAGAGCTACGAGCAGTCCACACCAGAACACAAGCCCCACACGCTCGGAGTCTGCGTCTGCCTCACGTGACTGTGTTCCCGGGGTCCGGCTCTGGCTGGGGGTTCCGTGGAGAATGAACATGGAGGAACAGCTGTACAGACAGGAAGGGTTGTGGCCTGCAGGTCCCTGCACCCGACAACACCTTCACCCACAGGACCGCTTGAGACTCGGCCCCTGGCCGAGAGGAGTCCTGCTCCCAACTCAGCTGGCAGAGACGTGCACGCACTTCCATCTCAACTCCAAGTGTGGGGGAAAGATGGCTGATGTAAACAATCATTTGATGCAAACACCTTATTTTGAACTAGAAGATATTCCTGAAAAGGTTTATAAAATCTATTTTATAAGAATTTTATTATAAATGCACAGATAAGTATTCTACTAGAATTTTGGTAGAAGCTCTCATAAATGAAGAATGTTTGTCACATGAAGACTCTTCCCCGTGTGAGTAATCCCTCTCTCACTGCATGTTACACAGCTGTTCGATTACATACACATACTCAAGTTTAAGTTCTAACTGTGACTTTTCCCTGTACAGTCTTTCCATTCAATAGCTCACTTCACAATAACAAATGATGGCCAACGGCTCTCAAACCCTTCAGACAAGAACAGAGAACTGCCTTCCAGTCCACTACTGAGCCTCATAACCTGAACTGAAACTGTAACTGAGAGAGGCGGTCTTCAGCCCCGGCCCAGCACCTTACTCACCAGGTCGGCCACCCTGCACAAGGAGTCTGAGAGCTCGTCGAAGATAAGCACAGTCCATGGCCCGGGTGGCGTGGTGCACACGCGCCTCACCAGCTGCTCCGTCTTCCTTAGGGCCTTCTCCTGGGCCACGCGGAATCCTTCTGGGGCACTGAGCTCGGGAACGCCAAAGAGACCCTGGAACCCAAAGAACAGCTCCCACTGAGAACAGAGCACGTGACCTGGGGGTATTACATACACTTTTCTCATACAGAAAATCTCAGCTTTCACTGGTATTTCTTATCATCACGACACCTGTCATCACCTGTATCCCTCTCACATTCCCCGAGACGTTCCACATACACGACACTGGAATGGAATTTTTCTTCAATTCTTATTTTATAAAAAAAAACAAAAATAGAATGATACACATTCAAAATCCAGCTCTGTCACTACCACAGAACAGCCAGGATTACATGACACACGTTTTTAAAAAACATTTTAGCATGCCTGGCACGCAGAAAGCATTTATTTAACAGGTGGCAGCTGTAACCACTATCCGCTGTATGACCCTGGTCAAGTTCTCACCCCTCCTTGGCCTACCGTCTTCATGGGACCCAGGGGGTTAATAGTTGCTTGGACCCAGGAACCAGGGGACTCCATTCTCAGGACCCTGCTGGGCACTGAGTGAGGTCCAGGGCATGGCACCCAGCACTCCACAAACGACACAACAGGGACCATGAGTTGACGACTGAGCACATACATATCTTTAAAAGACAGAATAAACATGCCAAACCAAGTCACAGGCTGAAACTGGGAGCAAATGCTGTACTTTCCACAAGCATTCCAACACCTTGACAAAGAAAAAAATCACTAATCTAATGGGAGGGACCGTCTTCTTGCACTGGTTCAATCACACTTGCTGCAACACTCAGGAAAGCAGTGTTCTGTCACTCAGAACCCACAAGTGCTTCTTACACATGCAGTGCGTGCCGAATGTGCACCATGGACTTCAGGGGCTCTCGTAGGGCACGAAGTAGCACCCTCCTTTCACAGATAAGGAAACACACTCTCAGAGGTTGAATAGGTTTGCAGTCACTAGGTCACAAGTGCAAGAGATGTGACTTGAACGTGCTCCAAGCACCCCTAAAGCCTACGCTTTCTCTGTGCGTGGACCGCAGCTTACGTTGGAAAGTCTCTTTGCGCCAGCACCAGGACTAGGAACTCTGCTCTTCCACCAATTTAACCAGCAACCCAACAGAGGGCCTGACATAGGCGGGAACTCAGGAATGAGTCAAACTAACAGGCCAAACGCTTAGCTGTGCAGATCAGCTGTGTAGATGCTTGCCAACTGTAGGGAATACCAAGAGGTGAAACAGGCCTGTCAGGCCAACAGTTTCTGCAGGACTGGATGCAAGAAGCTATTAATTTCTGTTCAAAATACATTAAGTTGGAGAAAATAAAGACAAGGGCAGAGCAGAATCAGGGCCAAAGCCTTCCCTGGTCTTTACAGTGATCTAATCTGATTCAACTACAGACTGTTTGTTGTTACCTCTCAGCACACTGCCCCATACTCCTCTCGGGAATTCTGAACCTCAGCCTACCAGTTATGGCCATGTTGAAAACCTACATACGCTGTAAGGTTTCTTTTTTAAAATAAAAGCCAACTCACATATTTGAAAATCTGCTATCAGCACCTAAAATCACGATGTATAAAAGAAAAATGAATAAAGCTAAAAAGAGTACTATCTCATCCACCCTTCATGTGGATGAAGTTCTCTTTCATAACCCTTCATGTCTTTCTGCTCAGTACCCACAGGTCGTTCTGATTCTCACACCGATTACGTCAATACCAGCGTTATTTACTCCCAAGGAAGCTTGTGCAGCAAATTTCACTCAAAGATAGTTTTAAAACAAAGAAAAGTGTGTGTGTGTGGGGGGGGGATATGAAAAACTCAACCATGAGACCCCCTGTAACCACATCCCTAACTCATCTTTCCAAGAGAGGCAACAGTAAATAATCATGAAAAAATAAAAAAGACAAAACCAAGAGTAACAATGTAAACTGAGCAATATCCCTAAATGCAAAGTAAAGCAGGCACAGTTGAGTCCTTTCCAAGCTTCCCTTCCTTCTGCCCCTCAATCCAGTCATTAACTCAATAATGAGCGTCAGGAGCAGGTGGTTGGGCGGGGAGGGGGACTGGCTATTTGGGACCAGCAGCGGTTTCGGACTGTCACAGAAGTGATGGACAAGCAGCAAGTCCTACTGCAGAGCCCAGGGAGCCACATTCAGCACCCTGCGACACGCACAATGGAAGAGAACGTGAAAAAGGAGCTGAGCTACTGTGGTGTGCAGCTGAGACTAACACCGCACTGTGCATCAACCAGACTGCGACAAAGTGAGCTTGGAGAGAGGAGGACTCAATCACAAGTGTCTGCGGCACGCCAGACCCGCGCGTGCGGACGGACGGACAGACCGCCGGGACAACCAAGAGGTGGCGACCTGCGGCTAGGTGGGTCTCCGCGGTGGGCAGCGCCGCCTAGGAGGCCAGTCCCGCGTTTTACAGGTAAAGAAGAGGCCAGAGCTTTGAAGAGAACTGACGAGGGCGTCTCGGGCATCAGGGACAGACCAGCGACACTGACCACGGAGGCCCGTCCCGGAGTAGTGACACCACAGGCGGGCTCGCCTCACCCGGGCCGGCCGGGTGGGCAGGGGTCCGCGCGGGCAGGAGCCGCACCCGCACGCAGGGCCGCACCGGGCATCAGACCCTCAGAGCGGGGACCCCAAGGTCACCACGGACAGGAGACCCCCGCCGCCCGCGCCCCCAGACTCCGCTCACCCCGCGCTCGCCGGACCGGTCCAGGCGGCGGCCCTGGGGCTGCACGGTGAAGGCGGCGCCCACCGGGGACCAGCGGGTGCTGACCCGCCGCACGCGGAGCCCGGCCCGCAGGCCACCCAGCCTCCGGGCGCACAGCATCACGCCGCGTCTCCTGGGCAGCGCCCGCGCCCCCACGTGACCCCGCGCTTCCGGGAGGGCCGGGGTCCACGTGCGAGCCCTGCGGCCAGAGCTGTCGGCCGGCCTCGGTCCATTGACCGTGAACTCGCGGAGACCGACGACAAACCGACGGAGCAAGATCTGAGCCGGGAGGACAGTGTGGCGGAGAGGGCGAGGGCTGGGGCCTGAGGGGTCTCTCCAGGTATCCGCGGGGGGCGGAGGCCGTGCAGGGATGGGAGCCTCACCTGGACGGCCCGCGAGGATGACCCTGCCCGAGGGCAGCCCCAAGCCTGCTGCTGTGGCCTCGCCTGGGCTTGGCGAGGAACCGGATGCCCGGACCAGCTCCATCAGGCCTGAAGGATGCCTCGTGCCAAGGTTCAGGCCGAGGGGCGTCGTGTCTCACCTGAGTGCGGTGGCGGTAGGTCCGCCCCTGCCAACGCCTGTGGGCTGTGAGCAGCCCCAGAACCTTCTCTGAAGTTCCAGAATCGAGGGCCTAGTTCCATCCTGACAACACCTTAGTCTTAAACGGAGTTTGGTTTTAATTTAGCCTGGTCGGGAGAAAAAGCCCTAGTGATCAAAATGATAAGATATTTAAAATTTACTTAAGGCAAGTGCCTGGGAGGGCCTGCACAAGTCTCTACAACTTAACTACAGATTCTGCATTTGTGTATATGTGGCAAAGCATGATTTCATTTTCTGCAGGCTTTTAAATGAAAGATTTCAAGCTATTTAAAATCCCCAAAGTCCTTACTCTATGGTGATTAATACTGTGACTGGGTTGGTCCTTGGGGCGACCACATCTCAGGTATGCATGGCAGGACTTACACACATGTCAAATGTGTCATGTAAAAAAATGTATCAATAAATTTGACAAAAGTACTTATTTTATCATAATTTTTAAAAGGGGTTTCAAGTCTGAGAACCTTTTTTTGAGCCCAGAATGGTTTTTATACAAAGGTAACTAACCGTTTTAAATGCAAACACTGAGGCCTGCAAACACCCTCAGAGGATGATGACTTATGCTGCATTCACAAAGTGTGTTGTGTCTCAGAAAACCTAGCGTAGTTAGACTTGTAAAAACTACAGAAATCCACAGCTGAAGCCCCAATACTTTGGCCACCTGATTCGAAGAGCTGACTCATTGGAAAAGACTCTGATGCTGGCAAAGACTGAGGGCAGGATTAGAAGCGGATGACAGGATGACATGGTTGGATGGCATCATCAACTCAGTGGACATGAATCTGAGCAAACTCTGGGAGATAATGAAGGACAAGGAAGCCTGGCGCGATGCAGTCCATGGGGTCGTAACAACAAAATGGAAATGATTTCTGTATACTTCCAAAGTTTTCCAAAACCACCGTGTAATTTTTCAATAGTTCATCTATAGCAGTGCTGCCTGCTTGTAATGATAATTCAGAAAATTCCCATTTTTCCAAGGAATGAAGACACTGTCACAACCATACTGGCTTGGTTGGCATGTGACAGGAGTGGCTGTAAGTCCCTCAGAGAACTAACAACGCCCCAGGCTAGGGTTTTGAAGGTGCTGTTGCTCAAATATGCACCAGGCTTATGCCCTCTTGCTTGTTGTGTGTGCTAAGTCATTTCAGTCCTGTCTGACTCTTTGCGACCCCATGGACTGTAGCCCACTAGGCTCCTCCATCCATGGGATTCTCCAGGCAAGAATACTGGAGTGGGTTGCCATGCCCTCCTCCAGGGGATCTTCCTGACCCAGGGATCAAACCGGCCTCTCTTATGTCTCCTGCATTGGCAGGTGAGTTCTTTACCACTAATGCCACCTAGGAAGCCCATTTCTTGCTTATTAGTTGCTCTCATCTAATAGAAAAATGCCTGGATTTAACGTAGGTATATTTAAACCTTTTAGAAGGGTACTGGGACCATGCATAATTATTTCAGTTCAACCACTGTTGCACCATCAGAGACAGGGTCACAAAAGAGCTGAAAACTCACCCAAGTCCAACTCCTCTGCTGTGGCTGAAACAATACCTTGATTCTTGGTCTTGGGTTGTTTCCACTATAATCCTGCCAGAGACCTTGGACCAGACCTTGGACCATAATCCTTGGACCAGAGACCACTTGAGATTCTTTCAGACAACAGCAGTAGTAACACAACCTGCCTCAAATTGGTTTAAGCAAACAGTTTGTTGACTCACACACTGAGAGGGGTACCTCTGCTTTCAGGACAGCTAGGCTTACAGGCCTAAACCTTGTCATCAGGACAGGTTTACCTCCAGCTCTGGCTTTGTTCTCAGGCTCTAAGGATTAGAAGACAGCTGCCACCTAAAGCTCAAGCTTCAGCTGAAAGAGACCTTTTCTGTTTTTCCACAAGTCTTTTGCATGGCAGATTGTGTCCGTTGGCTCTAGCTGGATTGAGCGCCATCTTGGAAGTAGGCACCATGGACCAAGGAAGACAATGTTCTAACCTGCCAGGCCTGCACCTCATGTGCACCCCAGACCCCAGCGTCTACACTGCTGGAAAGACCAGGCCTGAGCGTGGATATCAGGATATGTTTACCAGCAGGAAGGGAAGTGGACAGTATCTGTCTGCACAGGAAACGTCCACTATGGCCTGGAGGGCTGGTTTCCCTTTTACCCACCATGCCCTAGAAAGCACATCACCACCCTCCACTTCCAACTCTCTGCCTGGTCTCCCTGTTCAGTAACTTTTCCTTCTGCTTCATTCCTTCAAAGATTTTAGAAGGTAAACAGTGAGGAAACTCTAATGGAATTTACCCTGCTGGTTTTGGCTTAGCTGGGACCTGGGACCCTTCTTGTCTTTCCTGTTTCTCCCTTGTGGATGGGACCTGCTGGCCCGGGCCCTGTCCACTGCTGTATAAGATAACTTCTTATCTGCTTCCTCAAGTTCACAGGTGAGAAGAATTTTGCCCCAGGGTGATTCATATAGTAGGTCTTGTGGCTCCTTCGAGCACTAAAACAGTATCAAAATGCTTCCCACAAGAAACACGCAAGCAGAGGCTCTCTGGACTGTGGGAATGAGGAAAAATATTAAATAAACTGTAATAAACATGGCAGGTATTTTTACATTTACTCTTGGAGGGATACTGAGTTTTGTAGAATCAGTTTTAGGGAGAATGTTCCTCTTTTTACCTTTTTATGGTATGACAGTGATAACATAGTTAATAGCGTAAAATCATCAGATAACGTCTTCACCAGGCTAACCCCGGTGGATGGGGAAGATTGCCCTCCCCGCACCCGTCAGGAGCTGCTGAATAGCAGGAAGCCCGTGAATGTTGTGTCGTCGTCCTCGTCAGCGAACAAGCCGTTGAACCTCTCCCCTCCGGTCACCTGCAGCCACACCTCGTCCCCGAGCTTCAGGGGCAGGACGATGCCGCCCGAGGCCTGGTCCTCGGAGCCTGTGTAACCGTCCTTGGTGTGCAGGACTTTGGCCCCGTTTTTGACCAGAGACACCTGGACGTTCCTGGAGAAGACGGTGACGTGGTAGGTGAAGTAATAGACGCCGGCCACGTGACAGGTGAACTTGCCCGTGGCCACGTCGTAGTGGCCAAACTCGTTGTACAGGATCCTGTCGAATTTGATGGGCGTGTCTGACGGAGGGAACTTGCTCAGCACCGTGAGCCCCACCGTGAAGGCGCTTTTGGGCAAGGCGGGCGTCTCGCCGATTTTCCCCTTTTCTCCTCGCTCCCCTTTCCAGCCTCTCAGGCCGCGGACTCCAGGCTCGCCCTGGGGCCCCAGGGGGCCAGCATCTCCCTTGGGACCTGGCTTTCCGATGGGGCCCGTGGGCCCGGGCAGTCCGGTTGGGCCCGAAGGTCCGGTGTTGCCCTCTGGCCCCTCTGGACCCATGGGCCCCACGTCGCCCTTCTCCCCCTTCTGCCCCTGGGGGCCCGTCTCCCCCGTGAGGCCCTTCTCCCCCGGGGGGCCCACGAGTCCCTTCGGCCCGTGCTTCCCTGGGGGTCCTCTCGAGCCCTGGTCACCTTTGACACCCTTTGCTTCCACATGTCCGTCTGCCCCTGAGAAGGAAGAGAGAGAACAGGGGAAGAGACAATTCGTGAAGCTCTGCCTTGTGAAGATATTCCTGAGAACATGAATGAAATAAAGCAGCACCCAGGCTTAGTATGAGGTCAGGGTGTGAAAATTTTTTTTTTTATTTTTTTTTTCCGTTTATTTTTATTAGTTGGAGGCTAATCACTTTACATCATTGCAGGGTGTGAAGATTAATTTACTCCTCTATCGTGCAGATACACACACACATGTGCACGTGTACTCAGGCGCACCCAGAACACTGCCTGACTCAGGTAACACCGACTAAATCAGCGTTGGGGCTCATGTTAAAATGACAGTTTCTTCTTTGGGGTCTTCCCTGGCGGTCCAGTGGTTAAGACTCCCCGCGTCCACTGCAGGGGGCAAGGGTTCAATCCTTGGTCCCCTTGGTCAGGAGAACCAAGATCCTGCATGCCCCAGGGCATGGCCAGCCCAAAAAAGAAATGACAGCTTTCTGCCCATCCCCCAGGGAACTCCTTTGGAAGCGGGAAAACCACAGACAGCAGGTTCACCAGTCTGCCCGGGGAGGTGACTCGCAGCACTGATGACCTGATGCTCCGAGAAGCTCCTCACTTGAGCTCTGCTCTGGCAGGTGCATCGTGCTGTGCTGGTTCCCCCTGTCCCCGTCCCCCCCAGCCTGGCCGCCCCCTCTTCCCACACCTGAGCCCGACTGGGCAGCAGCGGTGTGAGCACAGCTCTGGAGTCAGACGCCAGGATCCAGCCGGCCTCCACCACTTCTACACAAGCTGATGCCCACCTGCACCGGTTCCTCACCTGTGACCTGGGATAATAAACTGCCTCCTGTATAGGCTGTTGTGTTGAGTCAGCACATGGAAGGCACTAGAACCACTTTGTGGCAAGGACGCTGTGATCACCACCCCCCACCCCCATCAGCACCCTCCCGCCTCCAGGGACCAGCTCAGGTGCCCCTTCTCCTGCAGGTCCACTGAGTCAGA